CTTGTTTCTGGGCTGGGTCTAATGCTTAGTATAGTCTACTATGGCCTACCGGAAATTACAAGAACTGTTCCCCGTAGTTTCAGTATAGTCCACTGTGTGGCCCAGTCGCCTCCCTATCTTGCTTAAGTGCCACCAAACTACTGCATCGTACTTCGGGCTCTCCCCTGTCAGGAGACAGAATACACCAGGGAGGAGGAGACAAAAAAAAAAGGGAGCCAGCACGGAACCACTCGCTTGGGTCGGATGTTTTGCCGGGTGGTAAATATGAACCGTGCGTGCCGACTGTCAACTGAGGCCAGTGCCAAAATTTAGAACAGGCAGGCAGACAAACAGACAGGCAATCAGTGACTGGGATGTTTGATGACTGGGGATATATTAATATGTAGTATACCCTCTTAGTCCCTTTCTCCTGATTGTCTTGTCTTTTGTAAACAGATCCACAGGTCCACTCCTTTCCACCACCCTCTCTTGCAACTTCTGTCAGTCAGTCAGTCATGGCAGGCGACGACTTCGCTGTCGAGGCGTTCACCCTCTTAGCTATCGCCATCGTCACGATAGCCATTCGCATCGTTGCACGATGGTTCACCGCCGGCTGGAAGAACTTTATGCTCGATGATTATTTGATGCCGTTGGCGGGGGTATGTGCCTGCCTCTCCCCGCCACCATTTCCCACGCCACTCCATGCTGATAAGACTGGTTCTATGACAGGTAGTATACGGTCTCGAAACAGGCGCCGCCTACTGCGTCAGCGCATGGTGGAAAGGTCTTGCCAACAATGCCATGACGGACGCTGAGCGCGCCGCGCTCTCTCCTACTTCAGAGGAGTACCATTTGCGGGTTGGGGGGTCCAAAACGCAGGTACTGGGGTGGTCGCTGTATACCACGTTGCTGTGGCTGCTGAAGTCGTGCATGGCGGTGTTTTATTCTCGATTGACGTATGCAGCCACCACACTCAATCATCCACAAACATCACACTAACAGTTCATAATGATAGGGCCGGCCTCATCAACATGCACATCCGTATCCGCATCGCATACTTCCTCATCGGAGCCACCTACATCGCCGTCATCATCAGCATCCTCGCAGGATGTCACCCTATCCAGAAGAACTGGCAGATCAACCCTAACCCGGGGAACTACTGCCAGCCGGCTGTCTCACACATCGACGTATATGTGACGGTGGTGTTGAACGTCGCTACAGACGTGTATTTGATTTCCATCCCGACCCCTGTAAGTCCATCCTTGTACCTTGTTCTCCCCATGACAAATAGTTCCAGCCAAGACTAACTATCGACGAAATTATTTGAAATGCCTCAGATCCTGTTCAAAGCCCGTCTTCCCTGGCGCGAGAAACTCGAACTCCTTATCCTTTTCAGCGGTGGTACCTTTGTCATGGCTTGTGGTATCCTTCGCTGCGTATTGATCGTCACTGTATGTCCCCACCTCCCTTCCCTCCAAAAACAACAACCCACTAACCACCATGGTAATAAAACAGGCCGGCGCCAACGGCGCCTCCCAAGCCGGCAGCTGGGCCTGCCGCGAGACCTTCGTAGCGGTAATAATTGGCAACGCGCCAATGATCTACCCAATGTGTCGCAGACTGGCCATGCGAGCAGGGTGGTACATGTCCACTAAAGGGACGAAGGGCAGTTCACAGAGCTATCCGTTATCGGATGGAGCGGCGCATTCGGGCACGGATAATAGTAAGAATAAGAGACGCAAGTTCAAGCATCCGCTGTCGTTGCCGGATACACAGTGGAATACGGTTAGTGATGAGCAGATGATGCTCCCGCCGGGGGAGTGGGAGGTTAGTCATGCTGCGAGGGATGGGGATGGGAGTGTGGTTGTTCCTGGGAATGGAGGGGTGTATGATGGGGGGTGGAAGGGGGGGAGAGAGACGGTCGTTTCGACGGCATAATATTTTATGTTTACTACTATTTCTTTTGTGGGTTTCTTTTGTTGGGACGGGATAAAATATTATGGATATGGTATGGGTATGGTTGGTTATGATAATGGTATTCTCACACAACTTGTGCAATTGACTAAAAGGAAAGATGGTGGTAGTGGGTAGTGAGCATCGCACACCGTAGATTATATAGTTCTGGGGGATGAAGGAAGATCACTTCATCTCCTCAATCTCCGTCAGATCCTGCTTCTTCAACGACGCCTTGACCGGATTCTTCTGCTGGAAAATAGCAGTCAACTCCTCCAGCGTGCGCTTACTCGTCTCCACAAACAGGAAGTAAATGACAATCACCTCCATCGTGTCCCAGAAGATAAACAGGAAGTAATACTTCCATCCGGCCTGCGTAAACGCAATTCCAGTGACGAATGTATTGTAGAACGACGCGATGTTGACGAAGAACTAGTGTCCCCGATTAGCACCCACTCTCACACACCTATATATATTCATGTAAGAAAGAGGGATTAAAACGTACGTTGTTCATCCCCATCCCCTTCGCCCGACTCTCATACCGCAAACACTCCACCGGATACATCGCCTGATTAGGAGTCCAGCCAGCCGAATAGATAAACCCAAAGAGATAAATCATCGCGATCTGTGCGCGCGCTGCAACTGCGCTCTTGGCAATGGGCGTGCCGTCCGGTCCGTCGACCACGTTCGTTGCGTTCAATGCAGTCACTATCGCGAATAATACCACCACGATACTCGTCGACACGAGGAGCTGTGTACGTCGCCCCATTCGGTCTGTGATGAGGGCTCCTGACACGGCGCCTAGGAAGGAGACGACGTTCTGCACTCCTTGCAGCATCAGTTGCGTGTTGTTGTCTGTGATTCCGGCACCGCGGAGCATCTGCGGGTAATAGTAGCTGACGGGGCCGTTGCCGGTCCATTGGCCGAAGAGGGCTATTTTCACTCATCAGTATGTATGTTCTGAGGATTAGGAAAGGTGTGGGATAATATACCCATAATGATAACCAGCATAGACCGATACCGCACTTCCCGGGTATTGAACAATTCGCGATAATCCCACCACCGCTTATCCGATCCCGTCTGGGAGATATCCTCGATCATCTCGCGGTACTCGAGCTGCACGATGGGGGCGTTCCTGTCCCCGTCGCCGTGGTAGTCGGCGAGGACTTGCAGTGCGGCGTCGTGTTTGTCTTGGGAGATAAGCCAGCGGGGACTCTACACACCAGCACGTTAGCATACTTTCCACATTCTGGAAGAGATATAGTGGTGAGGACACACCTCAGCAACAAAAGGCACAAACACCAATACCAACCCCGAGAATACCATTTGCAACCAGATCGGGATCCGCCAACTCATCGTCCCCTCGATCTGACTCGTCCGCCACGGGATGAACGTCCCCGGGATACCGCCTCCGAACCACAACACATTGTATAGACCCGTCATGGCGCCACGGTATGCTGGATGCGCCATCTCCGATACGTATGCTGGTCCGGCTGTGGCGGAAATGGCGACGCCGAAACCAAGAATGAATCGTCCGCCCATGAATCCGCCGATGTTGTGGCAGGTTGCTTGTACGATGGTGCCGATGATGATGAAGAGGGAGCCGAGGGCCATGCCGACGCGGCGGCCTATGTTATTATTCAAGTGTTAGTGTGGTTCTGATGGGGTAGTAGACAGGCAAGGGGTGGGGTATACCCTTAAAGTCAGTAGCCGGGCCAGCTACGAACGATCCGACGATATTCCCGATGGTATAGATGGCGTAGACGATACCCGTGGACGGCGTGCCGCTGTTCGGGTCGAAGCCGAAGTAGTCTCGGTACTGGGCGTAGCTGTTGATGGAACCCATCAGGGATCCGTCGTAGCCGTTGATGCAGGAGTTGAGCATAGCGACGGCGATGCAGCAGTACAACTATTGACACACTATATTAGGAGATGATAGAGTACTAGAAAAAGAGGGCATACCTTGAGCATGCTCTTACTCCATAGCGACGGCTTCTGGAGACTCGTCGCCACAGCCAGAGCCGTGTCGCCCACCCCACCCTTGAGTTGGACATTGGGGTGGTCGGAGTCGTCGACGTGAGAGACGCTGGTGGTGGTTTTCTCAGCCATATCCACTCACTTGGTTGAGGTATTGATTAAGATATTGATGATCGGGATGAAAGTGGGAATAACACGGGGAACTCACCTCACATATATACTAATTAGTGAGTACTCAGTCGAGGCAGCCGGTGAGGCCAGGTAGAATGTATCGGATGCAACGGTAATATGGCCGAGGAGATGTGATAGGATCGGCTGATGCAGCAAGGGTACAGCCCCGTATCCAAACGGGAATAGGGAATCCGGGGTAGGTTTGCCCTGTGGTGGAAGATGAATGGTTGGAGGGCAAATTGTTGGCGGGGGAGGCTGCTAACTACTGCACTAGTCGATACCTTTGATTTGATAGACCTTTAGCCACTACGAGCCAGCTCTAATTGACTCATCTAAACTAAGCTAACCTACTTTAATGAACCTCTGATCCTGTTCATGTAAGCGTTCTCAAATACCACGGAATACGGCCCGACGTGCCGCAGGCATGGGGATCCGGGGTAGAGAAATTAAAGTCAACCCTAAGCGAGGCACTCCGCAGCGCATGACCCATACGAGAGCTCGTACGAATCTGCCAATAGGCCATTCGATAATTTGCCTGTAGCTGCAGTCTGGAATCAATCAGACCACCATTTCGCGCGAGTTATTTCTCCACTCGCCACATGGAAAACTGGAAACGAGGGCCGAATCGATTCGCCTCGGGCATCACTGCAGCCCAACCCGCACAGACCGGGTCAACTCGATCTAGCCTGTTAGTAGACCCAGACCAGACCCTTTTAGACGCAGGGTCCGAGCTAGATTCCACGTGTAATTACAGTTTACATCAATTGCTTAGTGCTGGCTTCTGTTTTTCTTGTCTGTCTGTCTGTCTATCGTGACTCATATTACACATAACAATAACATCTAGCTAGCTAGCTATACAGCTATCATACACTCACCCAAAAAGCCCAGCCCCCAAACTCCAAGAAACCAAAACAAAGAAACTATGACAGAAACTCCCCCTTCTCCTCGGGACTAACATACAAACTCAACGTATAATACCTCCCCTCAATAATCTCACTCTCCCCTACCAACCCCCCAGCAAGCACCAACCTCGAACCCCCCCGAAACGGCATCGCCACCCACATCAACCTACCCTCGCGATCCGCCCCCATCCACGCCGTCTCCGTACACGACATACTACTCCCAAACAGCAGCGGATTGAACCCATTGCACACGGCCTCGGGGATATGCAGCACGTTCTCGAGCACGATGGTATGCGTATCGAACGGGTTATCGAGGCTGCGGACGACGGGGATCTCGACGGTTCCGATACCGGCCACTTCGAGCTCGTCCATCGGGTTGAAGATGTTGTTCTTGAGGTGCGCGGTCACAGGTCGGTAGGTTGTGAAGTGGGCGCGGTCGCGCGCGTAGTGCACATTGCCTTGCACCACCATCCAGTCGTGGCAGATGCGTTGCGATGACGGGAGGTGCATCGCTTTGGTGCGTTTGCGGGGGGAGGTCGGTGGGCTGAGCGGGCGGGTGGTCATTTTGGTGCGGATTGATGGGCTGATGGGAGGGATAGAGTTGGTAAGGTGGTGTGAAGCTGTGCTGTTGCTGTGTGGGTGTGAGCTGTGATGGTGTTAGTGGGTCAATTGATCTGTTCAGGGTGTGATTTAGGAAGAGACGTACTAGTTAATTGCGTGGGTGGTGGGTGGACGGGTCAATGGGGTTATAATAGAAGTGAAAAGGGTACGAGATTGAGAAGGAGATCTCGTGAGATGCTGAGCTGAACCAGACTTGACGCGCCGAATGCGGAAGTCGGGCAATATATCGGGGCGGTGGCTGGTTGACCGCCTGCGCTAGCTGGTTTGGGTATGACGGGTTGCTATTTCGGGTAAGCGAGGTAATACGGGAGTTTGTTTCTCCGGCTGTCGCGCTCTTGCCTGAAGGGGTTAAGCGTTCTGCAGTGAGCAATAATAAATAAGTAGGGAGAAGATGGTTATAGCTGACTACTAGACTACTGTTCACTAATGTAAAGAAGGGGGATCTGCAGATTATCGCAATAGGTTTACCGCAGTTTGGGGAGACAGGATATTCTAGTCGCTTTGCCAGACCGCTATGGCCCGCTGAGGAACCTCTACATTTACAAGCCAATGGCAAATAGTGACAATTGCTCTCCACCACTGAATACGCTACGTCAAATGATATCAAATTGTTGAAGCAAGGAACAATGCAGCAAGAAGCTTGCTGCAAATGTTATTTGTGGCTCCTGAATCTTAGAAAACCTTAACCTTGAATATCCCATCATATCATTCATCATATCATCCAAAAAGCTTGAGCCTTTGACGAAGCTGATCATCACGAAATGCTAAGTTCAGTCTTCGTTAGCATGGCGCACCTGCAGTATCGATAACACCACTTTAGCTGAACAGGAAACAGGCTTACGTTCTCCTGCTAATGCGAGTCTCAAGTTTTGGCTTCTGGCAATTATCACATTTTCCTAGCCAAGGTTCTGCGAGCTGATAGTCCCAAGTGTTCCGAGGACAGGCTCTACCCTCTCGTTGTGCAGTTTCACAGCGTGTGAAACCAGCCTGGGCTAAATGTTTACATCCAAGGTGGCTGCGTACTGCAAAGGAACACATCGTGTTATTGTTTGTTGGGTGGTAGGTTCGTTGGAGGATCAAGTAACAGATATTGTAGTAGTAACAGATATTGTAGTAGCGAAGGGTGAGAGTTCAATAGCGCAGGAGGGAAGAGGGACGTTGAGAGAAGTTAACGAGTAAGAATAAGTTCAGAGTAAAAGTATGCCTGGAAGAGCCATTTTATACTATATTGATAGAATTCTTCACTTCGTTTCTAGACCTATGTTAAACCGGGAGAAGCCGTGCACCTGTGGCAAAGAGCGACAAATCTTCCGTGCTGATTGACAAGCTTAACTACACAGCCCTGATACAGAGCCTGAATCTGCAGTGATTGTCTGTTTGACACGTACGCTAATACTTCATAGTCACTGTCTGAGAAGATTCCCTACTGTTGTCTGCAATGTTGAGCGACTTTGATTGTAGCAAGCCAGATCCGAGAGTCAACTACTTATGTGAATCTAGAATCAGTATAGAAACTTACATTCTTACCGAGGCCATTCTGGGATTTTCATCTTATCAATACCAAGTGGTCAGTGAATGCGATGGTGTTATTTCTTCAAGAAGGCTTCTTTAGGGATAGCCTGTCAGTACGGTCAGTTACACGCCTACCAGAAATACCATCTCACATTCACTATCGCTTTCTTTTACTATTTCATCCCTAGTCTGATCCTTACTCCTTACAATCTACAGACATAACCCGCAACCTCTTCTGCTGTCGTATCTCAGTTGTTAGCGATCTGCTATCTCAAGGGATAATGGAACCAACAACCCCAGCTGATGCCATCACTGCTCCAGTGCCTGCACTTGACCTGATCCTCGAAGATCAATGCCGCGATTTTTCAATAGCTGATGTAACCCACATCATCGTCAAGTGAGTAGGCTATGACCTTACTCCACAAGCAGCTGAAAACATCGTCTAACCAACCTCATCGTAAGACTTCCGTTGGGGATACTGAACTCGATCATGGAATCTTGTGCCGTGAGCAACAATCCAAACCAACCACAGCTCTTCAGGGAATTCATCGGAAAGGCAATATCGAAAGCATTCTTTGGTGAGGAGCAGCGACTACAGTGTATGAAGTCTAAGCAGATCAGGAACGTGGAGTACGTTGGATACAGGAACTTCCGGAGAACAGAAACTCCCATAAATTCTCCTCAAGTCATCGTGGTGGCTCTCTTGGAACCTGTTCCCGGCCAGAACTTGAAGGCGGTTTGGAAGCCTGCCCCAGAACTCACACCTGCAAAAATTCGAGAGCGTGAGTATCTGGCGCCGTGATATTGAATATATATGCTAACAGTGTGATTGAGCAGGGGCTAGAATAAGGGCTATGGAGAATTCTGTCAGAGAACAGTACAGGAGATGGGGACTACACATGGACTGATCTCTGTGGAAGTTCTAGTCCTTGCGGATCTTCGTAGTCAAGCTGCGCTTCAGTAGAACGCGAATCATGAACACACATTTTTCTATCGAGCAGATAGTGAAGGGGCGTATGATGGAAAGCTAGCTTAGCACTTGGTGCCGTAATTTGACTTCTACTATAACTATCGAGCCCATTGCCCGTAATGTACATCTCAGATACAATTGGCTTTTGAGTGAAACTCGTGTAGCACCAGGCCGTTGGGGTTTGCCCTACGATATACAACAGTAACTTATACAGTTATGATATTAAATTTAGAAACCGGCCTAAGACAGTGCAAGACGTAGCTCAATATATCACGTTACAAGGCGACGTGAGCCGGCGTGACCATGGCAGGGTACAGCATCCTTCCTCGTAAGGCGCACCGTGTAGCGTTAGTCCCGATGAACCATATCTATGAAAGCAAGTTTCCCCATGTTTTCGGACTTTGTTGAACCGAGTCATGCATGACAGACTAGAAGGGCTGCATACTACAGTGCGGGGAAAGGTCTGTCTAGTCAGGCGCAAAAACTCAGTCCACCAATACAATGAAGCTCCTCGAGCTTGAGCACGGTCGCCTCGGGGATAGCAATCCCATTGAGTCTGATACTTGGCAGCATAAGAAGAGAAGATGAAGATTCACTGCTTCTATACGAGCAATAATAAACAAAATGCGTGCATTTCCTTTTTCTCTTTTTGTGACTCCAATTCTTGCTGCGGTGGGACCTGAATCCCTGGGGTCAGATATCTCCATTATACTTCATAATGATCTGTTAGGTGAGCATGAGCCAAAATATCAAGACGACAGGATGTATAACCCTTAAATAGAGGCAGATAGTCCACTGGTAAACTCAAGCGTCATAATTCTGGGTGACAAGAATTTGGAGGAAGCGACCGAAGCCTGCAATGTGCTGGGAGAGTCACTCTGGGGCAATGCTCCCTCGACACCTGCGGACCTCAAGGCTGACCTTGATTACCTTAAATACAGTGGCGACTACGAAAACAACCAGCGTTTCTGGATATCCTCAGTGAACGGCACTGGTAGGACAATTGATCTGAAAGGAACTATTGCGACGACAGAGAGCAACCATCTTTACCCTGTGCTTTGCACTCAGAGTGCTCCTTATTCGACAGAAGACTACCAGAACACAAGCAGTCAGTATCAAGTTACAGTGCATGCAAACAATGAATACCTCACAGGGTAAGATTTTCCTTTCCGTGAACCAAACATTTAGCTCACCGGGTAGGTATCGCGATCATGTTATATTCCGGTTCATCGGTGTCCGCTTCGCTACCGAGAAAGAACGGTGGACCTATCCAGAACGATATACAGGCAGTGGAGGCAACATATCTGCTTTGAAGTATGGGTCCGTGTGTCAGCGCGATGCGAAGGGTAATCAAGAGAACTGTCTCATTCTAAATATCTGGACTCCTTACCTCCCTCGTCAGCCGGCAGAGGAGACGAAATTGAGACCAGTAGCATTTTGGATCCATGGAGGCGCCTTTACTGGCGGAAGCCCCGATGACCCTTACTACGACGGAGGAAACCTTGCCTCTAGAGGCGATGTCGTGGTGGTCGGGATCAGTTATCGACTGGGAACACTTGGCTTTCTCGCACTGAATGACGGGAAAACAAACGGCAACTTTGGCCTCGCTGATCAAATCGCCGCACTCGATTGGGTCCGCCAGAACATCGAAGCCTTTGGAGGTGACCCGGACCAGATCACCATTTTCGGTCAGTCTGCCGGAGCAGCCTCTGTGCGAGCGTTGCTGGCTTCGCCTAAAGCAAAAGGAAAGTTCAGCCGCGCTATCATGCAAAGCAACCTCGGGGGCCTTGCGTATGGCACCACCTACTCCCGGTACTATACCATTGATGAGGAGATGGATGTAGCCGGTAATGCTATCCTGGAAGAAACTAACTGCACTTCTGCGACATCGCTTGTGGACTGTCTCAGGAACTATACCGCCAGTGCCATATCCGGGCTATCCACCACAGCGCGATACCTCGTTGTTGACGGGACATATCTTACCAGCCCTAAGCTCGACCTCAGCAGCTCCACAGAAGCATCGCGTGTACCTATTATGATGGGCATCATGCGCGATGACGGCGCCCAGTTTATCAGCTATCCAAATGCCAGCGAGAGTATCGACACTTTCCTAACTGAGAATGACCTGCCCGCGTCTGTCCTTGCAAGCGGCCTTTTTCCTCTAGCCACTGGCCCCAATGCCACACTGGATGTGTTCAACACCTCGGCTCGTGTGGCAACTGACGGTATGTTTCGATGCATCGATGAAGCAACAGGCTATGCAGGCGTCGTCAACAACATATTCCCTGAGGTATACTTCTATGAGTTCAACCGGTCCTATGAGCTCGAGGGTCAAGTATATAACGGTCGAGTATGCTATGCTCCCCCGACGGCAGAGTATCCAAACGGTGACCCGAATCTGGAGTACTGGAAGTGTCATTCCGGGGATCTGTACTATGTCTTTGGGAATCTGCGGCGCTTGAATCAGCCATTCAGGGATGAGTATGAGTTGCCATTTGAGCAGTATGTACTGGATACCTGGGCCAGTTTTATTCGTACTGGTAGTCCGACACCGGATCTGGAGGTGTTGAAAGCCAGGGGCTATGTGAATACCACCCGGGCTGTGGAGGAAAGTGGTGCGTGGCGGCCTTTGCGAGAGGGGGACTATAGTTTGAGGAGATTGCAGTGGCCTCCGTATCAGACTGCATTCAATGAGGTGGAGCAGTGCACTGCGTTGGACTTGCCGCTGAAATACTATGTGTGAATGTGGTAGAGTGATCATGGTCTTGGACGACGGGGAAGATTCCATGTAGGCCAAGGATGGCTGCCCATGAAGGATCATTCAGGCATCGAGGATTTCAGGCTTCTGGACATTTCCTTCCAAATATAGGAGATCTCCCATGTAAAATGATAGTTCTGGATCCACCGGAAAACCTATATTAAGGGGCTCGAGCATTGCCTTCAACCTCGTCTTTTCTTCTCTGTCCACCCCAGAAAAGCCAAGGGGGGTGGAAAGAAAGGTTGAGGCGACATACCATGATGGGTCTCGTATCAATATATATATTGCAGTGACGATGAATTAGTACATCAAGGTCACCATCCAGTTCTGGAGAATTGTTGTTCTCACAAGACAGTTGTGGAGCTGGGGAATGGCAGGCAATATATTTTCATCTTACCACATCACACGTAAGACAAGGTGTTAATCCTGAAAGAGCTGGTCATGTGTACGACGACAGCGCTGTACAAGCAAAGAATAATCATGAGGTCTCTATTTACCGAGCATGATGACCATGATTTCCCGATCTCTACCAACGCCTTGAAACATATACTTTATATAACGGGCTGGCAGGATATCAACGCTCAACGCTACGCTCAGCGAAAGAAAAAGAGCTTACACGCCAGACCTGACTAAAACAATCTCAACTTCCCAGTGTGGGTGCATAATGTGTGGATGCTCGCATTCGACGACGCCAGTGTCCTCAGTCATTTTGTTTGTGAGAATGGGATGTGCGATTCAACAGCACCAACGACACGAGCTACATATTATATATTTGATTCACAACGACACAACCATCGTCTTCCCTATTGATTGGCTCGAGGAAATCGTATCCTCGAAGAATTTATTGAAAAGAACTGCAAACGGGCAACATCCCCTTCCTCAGGACGCAGGCTTGGTACTGGAACTGTTTATGGTCCAGGCTATACGTGTTAATTGGCTTTCCAGTCTGTTCTCAAGGCCGAGTACGACACGTCTGACCATTTCATATCATTGTGGCTGCCGCTGTGTTCAGGCATCGTTTCTGGTTGGGGAACCATATTTTCTTTTCACGGATGACTACAGTCAGAGGCTAACTGGCCTGCTGGAATGAAATGCACTATGACCATCACTACTGGCATCTCATTCGGGGCATTGCCTCTCCTTCCTCAACTGACAAGCTAACAAGAGAAACCCAGCGTATTGTCTTGCGCAGAGTGGAAAGCCATGGACAATCGAGGGAGATCTCCGGCTCAGCTTGCTGTAAAGTTTCGGTGACTTGCTGAACATTTTTGGCAAATACCTTTACTACGCAGCTCTTGCGGGTTACTCTGGCACTGCTGCGATTGCACTCGGCTGGGCTGCTGTTGTTGCGGATGCGGATGAGATTTTATGCCATCATGGAAGCAACCAATCTTCTGTCTGCTTTTGACGACACTGAAGCTTTTCCTACGACCTGGGGGATAGGAACGAGCTGAAACAAGAACTCAATAGACACCATATCTGGGTAATCAGGAGGTCATCGATGATATGACTGCGTGGGGCTCCTTATTTACATATCTGGACAGAGAGATACATCACCCATTGAGGTACGTCGGTATTCCGAAGTAACAAATGTCTCATCGGATACCGCAGATTAAGTGCCTTGGTCTTCGCTGTCTGTGATGTCACCGACAGTTCAGGGGGTGTATAGAATCCAGAGGACGTCCACTACTAGCTTAGGCTGTTACGACAACATCACTAACATTATGCCATTGCCCTACTCTGGACTTGCAAGCGAATCCATTGTGCTCTTTGTCGTATTCCATGCAACGTGCTGCTGCACTTATATTGAACACCACCACCAGTTCAACATTTGTGTCTGTGTCGGTGGATCGTTATTGGGGGCTGTTAAGATACTTCTCGGACAATACAATGCTGAGATGCAATCCCTGCTGTCCTCATGGCCCTGGAAAGCGTACATGATCATCGAAGACAGATTCAGGTTTTTGGGGAGCTGAACAGCAGTGTAAGGGGTACACAAATCCTAAGCAAGAGCGATGCCGAGGTGCTGCCGCGGTATATATTCCTCAGGGGTGACTTGCGGTGCGCTCCGTATTAAAATCGAATGGCTACCGGATGCCTTATTGTCTGTTTAGTGAAATGGGACGATCTCAAGAATTGTCCCTTGTCGGTGGATATATATCATAGTGCTTACTTGAGAGCTTGAATCCATCCATAATGGTCTCCCCCAAAATATTGAAACCGATCAGCCAAGGTTTTTTTTCAACGAAGACATGGTGTACTTACTGAAAGCCAGCACTCTCCACACAATGTCATTGCTAGGCTCACGTTTGACGGCTCACGAGGAGGATCCAAGGCTGGTAGCGGAGCAGGCGCAGACACGATCTTTTGCATCAGCGAACCAACTTGAATACTTTTTTTTTTATATAAACTCCTGGTTAACAGGTGCTGATACCCCATACTATAGTACAAATATAACAATCATAGGACTCTATATTACCCACGTAGACCTAATCCCAGCATCTATTAGCACTGAATTATCATCCTCTCTCCATATTCTCACACTCCCAGATCCGTAGATGCTTCCAACTACCTCCTAAACCACCCCCTGTGAGAAACACTCACTTCCTCCACCCCATCCACCTCCCCTCCCTCGGCATAACCCCATTTCCATCCCCATCCCCATCCCCTTCACCCCCCCAACCACCACCACCACCACCACCACCAACATCCACCCCCAACACATCCAACATCCTCCCAACACTATGCCCCACCACATCCTCAATCCCCTCCGGCCTCGTATAAAACCCCGGCACGGGCGGAAAAATCACCACCCCCAGTTTCGCCAACGCGAGCATATTCTCCAGATGAATCACACTCAACGGCGTCTCCCTCACCATGAGCACCAATTTCCGTCCCTCTTTAATACACACGTCCGCAGACCTGGAGATCAAATCCTCGCCGTAGCCTATGCGTATCGCGGCGAGTGTCTTCATGCTGCACGGCGCGATGATCATGCCGTCCACTGGGTAGCTCCCGCTGCTGATGGGGGCGGCGAGGTCGCGCGGTGAGTGGGTTTGTGTTGCTAGGGAGGTTAGGTAGGGGAGGTTGTATTGGGGACATTCGTAGCGGAGGGTTGGGAGAGCCCATTTGGAGAGGATTAGGTGCGTTTCGATGCCGAGGTTGTGTAGGGTTTGGAGCGTGCGGATGCCGTAGATGGAGCCGGTGGCGCCGGTTAGGGCGAGGATGAGGCGGTTGTGACGGAGGTGGGGTTGGGATGGGGGATTGGGGGTGGACGGTGGTTGTGGTGGTGGTTGTGTTGTGTAGGTCCTTAGGAGGTGGTGGTGATGGCGATGGGGGAGGGGAGGGAGGGAGAGGCGGGGACGGAATTTCATGGTGGAAGTTGCCCGTGTCTTTGTTGGACTCAATGAGAGACTTGCTGGCGCGGAATTAAATTGGTAATGAACGAGGAAGGTATTGCTTTTGGCTTGTGTTCAGATAAATTCAATTGTATATGTGCTGTTTGTATGGTTGATATGAGGGCATTCGCATGCTTCTCCAATTCGGGGAAGCGGGGAATGCTTCTTTGGGGGTATAGAGCATGGCACTAATACGTCAGTAGATCATTTCTGAATCCACAGCCCTAACTGGCTATTGGACTTCCCAACCCTGTTTCTATCTAGAGACTAAATTGGCTTCGAGAGCTCGAGGCAGACCTAGGTCTCCCTAGTGTGCCTGTTCCCTGCCATGTTGATGCAAAAGTGTATAGTTTCTCCAATTCATCTCCAACATCATAAGATCTCTCCTTGTGTTGATAGCATCCCCCCTTTTTGGACTTAATGATAATGCCGAATATCCGACTGTTATGTTGTAGCTATATGCTGTAGATATATTTCCGTTGAGCCCACCCTTCGTACCACCACCTTAAACAACTACGACAACTACTGCTATCATGCTACGCATCCTTGGACCTGGCAAATGCTTTCCCCATCTCCGCCCCTCGCGGGCATTCTCCACTACACCCCTCAGAGCTAATGACTCCCCCGCCCTCAACTTCCGCTCACTGCTCTCCGCTCTCCGCGCCCAGGACGACCTCATCGATATTACGCAGTCCACCTCCCCTGATCTTGAAATCGCCGCTCTGACTCGTCGCGTATACGAGACAAACTCTCCTGCCCCCCTCTTTCACAATGTCACCAACACAGAACCTGAAACCGGTCTCTTCAAGATCCTCGGTGCCCCCGTCGGTCTCCGCGCTGACCCCGCCACCCGATTCGGCCGTTTAGCCATTCAAATCGGCCTTCCACCGACTGCCACCCCGCTGGACATTCTCGAGAAGCTTATCGCTGCTAAGCACTTGACTCCACTACCCCCAATTCCTGTTCCGGCTTCTTCTGCCCCATGCAAGGAGAATATCCTCCGTGGGTCCCAGATTGACATGACCAAATGGCCTATTCCGCGTCTTCACCCACTTGACGGGGGCAACTACCTAGCCACATATGGCTTCCATATTCTTCAGTCTCCTGATAAAGCATGGACGTCATGGTCGATCTCCCGTGCTATGCACATCGCAAATACGCCCCGTACCATCACCGCACCGATCATGCCGGGCCAACATATCGCCCAGGTGCATAAGATGTGGGCCGACCAAGGCGCGAAAGATACCCCTTGGGCACTAGTCCTGGGTGGGCCTCCAGCTGCCGCCTTCGTTGGGGGCATGCCTCTTCCCGCATTCGTATCCGAAGATGGCTACATCGGTGCTCTCTGCGGTGAAGCAATGAAGGTGGTGAAATGCGAAACGAACGACCTCTACGTCCCCGCCAACGCAGAGATCGTGCTCGAAGGCCGCATCAGCACGACCGACGAAGTCGGCGAGGGCCCGATGGGCGAGTATCACGGGTACATGTTCCCGGACAAGGCAGTGCCCGAGCCGAAGATCGAAGTGGACTGCGTGACGTATCGGCGGAATCCCGTGGTCCCGATCTGCGTGGCGGGGTTAGCGCCTGACGAGACGCACACGGTGTGGGGGGCAGCGATATCAGCGGAGATCCTGGATGCGTTGAGGGAGGCGGGATTGCCGGTGAAGATAGCTTGGATGCCGTATGAGGCGCAGTGTTGTTGGGTGGTGGTTAGTGTGGATGTGGAGAGGCTGGGGAGAATGGGGATGAAGAAGGAGGAGCTGTCGAGGAGGGTTGGAGAGGTAGTCTTTGGGACTCATGCGGGGTGGGAGGCGCCCAAGGTGTTTGTTGTCGGGGATGATGTTGATGTTACGGACATTGGGCAGTTCGTGTGGGCGCTGGCGACGAGGTATCGTCCTGGGGCTGATGAATTAGTGTTTGAAGAAGCGGATGGCTTGCCTATGATTCCGTATATGACCAGAGCGAGTAGGGCGGAGGTGCCGAATCCGGGGAAGGGCGGGAAGAGTGTCGTGAATTTATTGCTGCCGTCGGAGTTTGAGGGGAAGAGGCCCTGGGTGCCGGGCAGCTTTGAGGGGTTGTATTCGGAGGAATTGAAGCAGAAAGTGCTGGGTAGATGGGAAGGGCTGTTTGGGAAGAAGTGAGTAACGTACCTAGGGTTGAGTTGAGCCAATCTTAAGATAAGGTTTCGGGAAGAATCTGGGAACTTGGTTTCCAACTGTCAGGCACAGGATTGTTTATCATGAACTAAATCGACATTAGTGGAATGTTGACAACATTATGCGCTAGATCAAATGAGACGGGCGCTATAATCAATTCGGCTATAGGAGAGCAAAGTACTAGCGCTTACCCACTCCGTATTCCCCCGGAAACTGATGATGACCCATAAAATCCCCAGCAAAACCTGACATCCCCACTCAGCTCCTGCACATTCACAATGTCTGCTCCCTTCATCCCAGACTTCCCTTCAATCGGGCAGAACATCCACTACTACGAGCCAGATCTTATAGATACACCAATACCAGAGAATGCCAACACTCACCCATCCCTAATCATCCTGTGCCCCTGGTACGGCGGCGCAACACCCCGTCGCGTGGCCAAATACACCGGCGGCTACCGCCAACGCTACCCCCGCACATCCATCCTACTCATCAACACTTCTTTCCGCGACTATGTCGCCCGTTCATTGCACTCTATCGATGGAAACCTTACTCCCGCCACGAATACAATAACCAAGACACTGCAGTCCACTCCTGATGCCAGGATCTTGCTCCACGTGTTCTCTAATGGCGGCTGTAACACAGTCACACAACTCGCGCGAGCAATGAAGTCAGAACCAGTGAACTTCAAATCAGCGCTGAAGCTAATCATCTTCGACTGCTGTCCAGGGGACTCATCTTTCGACAGACTCTACGCTGCCGGAGCAGTGGCTCTACCGACAGCTCAACCTGGTCGTGCGATTGGAACCGCAGTGCTTTATTCCACTGCTAAGGTGGGATATGCTCTGCAGAGTATTAAGGCCATGAGATCCATAGATGATTATCGTGCGGACTTGAATGATACGGAGATCTTTGGGGAGGCGCGTAGGTTGTATCTCTATTCTAGGATTGATAACATGATTCCCTGGAAAGATGTGGAAGGGCATATGATCGAGGCTAGTCGCAGGGGGTATCGTGTTACCGGGGTCAGCTTTGAGGATGGGAAGCATTGTGGGTTAGTCATGGGGGATGAGAGGCGGTATTGGGATGCTGTAGAACGGGCCTGGGAGGAAGGGAAGACGATTGTCTGGGAGAGGAGTAAGCTGTGATTCAATCATCATAATGGTACGGGACGGTCATCTGGGTGTCCTAAAAGCCACTGGAAAAGGGCCCTAGAGTCAGATATAACGCGACTACCTTTTTGATAGGTATAATCAGTCATTGAATCAGGAAAGAACTAGTCAGCCTGAAGAATCCTTAAATCCACCAATCAAGCAGGGTGTCATTTCCTCGGTGACTTGGCGCCTGTCGGCCGCATCCCCGCTTTCACGACTTCATCTCCAGTGCTTCTGCGCTGGACTTGCCTCCACACCCCATGGCTAAGGCAAGAGGACCGTCTCTATAAAACAGGCAGATGTGTCCGGAGCCAATATCATCCTGAGATACGACACTCCAAAGCTGAGATGTTCCCTGAAGTCGACACTACCTCGTATCTGACTGGGAATACCAGACAGTCGCATCCCGCGTATCCTCGAAGACCCTAACCATCACGCCATCAATTGCATTATGCTCCACACAGCGTGATACGGTAAAAAACAAACTATGTCGGCGAAAATCGGTGAACAATATACCCCGTTCTTCCCCGAAAATACGACAAGGTGAATCCAACGAGACAGGACGTACAATTAGACAGGCGATTGGGAATTCGTTTGACCCTTTCGGAAGGGCTTGATCGGGTTCTCACTATGTTTCGGCCATTAGGAAATTATGAATCTCAGTTGGAAAACTACCGAGCCGAAAGACCACTGCACTCAAATCACGCGGGCTATTATTGAAGGTGCAGGGCCAGACTGATTCAGGCATGAATGCCGACGCAGCACTGGGAACAAGAAGGGATAGGCCTCCCCGAAAGACCATATTGTGATCATTGGGTCAGCTCTCAAGTTAGTGCAGTGGCGAAGGTTATCTAGCGCGCCAAAACAGAAGCCTACTGCAACACCAGGCAAGGGCTTTCCTGCCGGGTAGCTAAACCCGGCAACCCGGAGCTCACGGGGTATTGGAACCCTCACAAAATAAGAACATGATGGTGCCCGACTAATGGTATTATGACGTACACGTGCAATACCTGATCTAAACTATTCTGTCTCGATTGAATAATGGTGAGTACAAAGGTCTAGTCATAGGATACACTTAAGGGGCGGTTGCTAACTCCCGATGGTAGGTCAGCCAAAGGCCGATATCGATCAGAGTGCAGCTTGGCATGGGAGGAGATCACCATGAGTCCTGCAATTGGCCATCATGCACGGCTACGGCAGCATCCGCCTCGAGAATTGCCCACCCGGCTATGGACCATGGGCTAGGTCTCCGAACTGCACGACGACAAGGCATTCCGACCCGAGGAATGTAGCATACAGCACAAGACCTGGCTAGGCCGGTGATTGGAATCGCAGGGATGTACTTTACCAGCGACGTTCACATCCCGATTGCACACAATCTGGCAGCAAATTCGCTCAGAGGAGAACAATCTTCGTGGGGTGAACGAAACAGGCAATTGTGAGAATATCCTCTGTTTGCCCAAGATCCCGCATGCAAGTATCTCACCATATCCCTGACCCAATTGACCATGAAGTCATCGTGTTGGGCAATCTGGTGACGGGAATTGTCCGTGAAGTGGGCCGGTAAACGCTCTTCCGTTGGCTGCCGTGACTAGGATGCGGTCCGTAAAATGAGGCATTTGGCACAGAAGGTTCTGGCACGACTCCACCGACCAACCAAATGCAAGCTAGTCACATTGATTGAACCAATACCAGCCAACGATGCAGTGCAGCGCCAGGAATACGCCCAAGAATGTAGCGTCATCTGTTGTCTGAGATGGCAGAAGACGGTCTTCCCCAGACACCCACCCCCGCATTTCGGTTATTGACTGGATCATGGCTCCAGGATCGACCATTAGGCTACCACTTGAAGTTATATTCGTGCGCTGCTATAGGTCTGACCTCATAAAGAGAATTACTATATAAGCTGCATGTTTACTGCATTAAACGAGGATTTTGGAACCCAGGCTCAATTGTTCCTCTAATTCGCATTCTCTTCAAATCCACCATGTCTTCCGAGAAAGACTTTGGCGGCGAGAAAGCTGCCAATTACCCCAAGTCTAGCTTGGATCTCAATTCGGACGCCAAACACATCGAGGTCGCCGATAATGCAACTGACGTCGAGGCGCTCGCTGCCAGCGTCAATGACTTGCCCATTACTTGGTTTGTGTGGGTGGTGGCCCTAACCGCCTCCATTGCCGGCATGTTGTTCGGTTACGACACGGGTATCATTTCCGGGGTGTTGGTGGTGCTCAAGGACGACCTGAACAATCGTCCAGTGACCAGCTCCGAGAAAGAAATGATCACCTCTCTCTGCTCCGGTGGTGCCTTCATCGGGGCGATTTTCGCTGGTAACACCGCAGACCGAGTAAGTTTCATCCTGCGCGGCTGCAAAAGCAAAAAGGACCCTACTAACCCAATCATGCAGTTTGGTCGCAAGATGGCAATCTATCTTGGCTGTGTTCTCTTCGTCATTGGCTCCGTGCTCCAAGCCGCCGCCTATACGATCGCGCAGATGGCGGTGGGTCGCGTGGTAGTCGGACTGGGCGTAGGCTCGGCCGCGATGGTCGTGCCGCTGTACGTTGCGGAGATCGCACCGGCGGGGGCTCGCGGTCGCTTAATTGGGCTAAACAACATGTCCATCACCGGTGGACAGGTCATCTCGTATGCGATCGGAGCGGCCTTTGCGAGCGTCAGCCACGGTTGGCGCTACATGGTCGGCCTGGGCGCTCTCCCCGCCCTTATCCTCGGCTGTATGATGCCGTTCTGTCCCGAATCACCTCGCCATCTCATCTACAACGGGCGCATGGAAGAAGCCCGCAGCGTCCTGGGCCGTATCTACAGCAGCGCCGCGACGGACGAGCAAATTGCCGCGTTGTTGGTGACGATCCGCGCGGCCTGCGATCAGGCCCGCGAGATCAACGACACGGGGAGCGGGTGGTCGAAGGTGGTGAAATTACATACCGTGGGGAGTAATCTGCGCGCCTTGATAGCGGCGTGCGGGTTAATGGTCATCTCCCAGATGAGTGGGTTCAATGCCCTGATGTACTACTCTTCGACACTGTTTGCGTTGGTGGGGTTCAACAACTCGACGGCCGTGGGGCTGGTGGTCGCGGGCACCAACTTTATCATGACTTGGGTGAACATGATGGTGGTGGATGGTTGGGGTCGCCGACGCTTGCTGCTTGCGACAGCCTGGGGAATGGCGGTGGGGATGGCCGCCGTTGCGATCGCCTTCCACTGGGTTCCCGTCAATATGGAGACGCTTGAACCCCTCAACCCGGGCATTTCCCCGGCGGCTATCGTCATTTTGGTGTTCGTCATCTGGTTTGTTGTGTTCTACGGGGTTTCGGTCGGCAACACCGCCTGGATGAGCACAGACTTCTTCCCGTTGGAGGTACGCGCGATGGGCACCATGTGGATGACTTGCTCCAACTGGGGCAGCAATGTTATCGTCTCCAGCACCTTCCTCACCATGGCCAAATCCATGACTCCATCCGGCGCATTTGGCTTTTACGCAGCCCTATGCGGCATTTCCTACGTCTGGATTTACTTCTTTTATCCCGAGGTCTCCGGACTCGTCCTGGAAGAAGTGCAGGAGGTGTTCCAGCACGGCTTCGGAGTCCGGTACGCCCGACAGCTGCGCAAGGAGCGAAAAGACATCATCGAGGAGCGAATGCGAAGTGCAGAGAAGCCGATTCCGATGGGTCATTAGACGGATTGTCACTTCACTTACTGGCTGAGTGGAGTGTGACTATGTGTGTAAAGTAGTACTTTAGGTAGCACTCTCTGTAACGATCGACAATCATGACATCATATTCCAAAAACCTGTCCCATCATTGGTGAATTGAGTAGCACAACCAAGACTTTCCCTAACAAGTCAAACCATGATCCATTTAGTCGCGTGGATTCCAATCCACAAAGTAAACCCGGAGCCTCCCCACGGGGAGACCAGACCCTACAGTAACTTTATCTCCTTCCCCTCTCCCGTGTCCACCAATCCTACCCTCATCTCGGCATCCCCCAACCCCGGCATGTTCTATACCTCCCCGACTTGGCTTCGGAATCCGGCTTCCGATGCGATGGCCTTCAGTTGCCGGTGTCATGCCATACGGAAATCACTGAAAGTATGCAATGGTCTGATCTCGACATTGTGCGACCATAGCACTTTCTACTACACAATGATGGTGATACCGAAGGGGTTGAGAAGGGGGGAACTCTTTCCGCATATTTCCGACACAGAATGAACGACTACTGAGTTAAGAGGACGCACCCGGAATTCGTAGACTTAGTATCGGTATTTGATATCCCTGCACACTATGTGTAGGATGTATACCTGGATATAGGTTTCCTTGATGTGCCACGCAGTAACCTGAATCATGCATTGCGGCCGTGGATTTCCGACTGCGGAGGGTATGTATGCACGTTGTCAACGATCTGGGGTCTTGGATCTTCTCTATGAGTAGGGTAGATACGATACTAGCTACATCATCTATGAAGGAATGGGCTGCTCTCTGTTAGGTGCTGTAATGAATCCCTCTATGACCATAACCTGTGTGCATAACCTCCGTGACTATCTGTAGCTTTTACCCTTTGGGATGCATCAAGGCTCATACGTCATCCCATCTCATGGACCAGCCCAGACTCAGCTATTGCTTTGACTTGATCGGAAAAGTTTTTCACGCAGGGGAGATAACCCTGAATTTCACGGAAGATGACAATTTCCAGTACAGGCCACGTAGGCAGAGTGGAGAAATTAGGTATCAATATCAGAGATTTCGCTTATCAGTAAGGAGAATTCCAATTAATCTACGGGATAGTCCCATATTCAGAGGATAATTCCATTTACTCCACGGAGTCCTCCTCGACTATTCATATTCGGGTTACACAGGACTCCATAACTGCGCGGGCTAGACCACTTTGCCACTGACATGACAGCTTCAATTTTGGAGATTCCCGTTTTTCAACAGCTTCACTGACGGCACTTTCCAAATCACCACGGAATATCGCCACTATCCATGCTAAATTTGACAATTTGTCACGGATCCTTCCAGCGGACTCACAGTGAATAAGTCATGTGACCTGCCAAATTTTTGGGCTATATAATCTCGTGAACACCAGCCTTCTCTGCACTTCCCATCAAGCAGCACAACAGTCAGAGGCACCCACCGATAAAGAGTCAGAGACGGCCACTGCAATCGAGGAAGAAGCAGAGTTGAATCGGATTCATACGCATCTTTAATCAGCCCAATATTGCCATGTTTTCCATGATGGCTTTCTGGTCAGGGAGAGGTTTTCGGGGTGTTGATAACGGATGAGATGTTGTTTGGAGAGGTTCGGATGAGTTGGCAGGTATCTCTTTGGTGCTTTTGTGGAAGTGAGCTAATTTTCCAGTCAGTTTCTGATACCAAACTACTTTCGAAAGATGAAGTCAGTCGGTTACATGAAGAAGTATTACTATCCATTATCGTTTCATATGTTCTCTACTAATGTGGTTCAATTCAATAGATTGCCATGTGTCCCTTAGTCCGCTATCCAGATCGACACGATAAATCGTCTTTGGTCTACTCGTTAATACTTCGACACAAAATGGTAAGGGTGGCACAAACCAAATGTTTCACCGGATTGTACAATTCCCACTAGTCAACGGGGTATTATGTACCCTACGAAAATGGGAATAATCTGGGATCAAGATCTGCCTTTTGGATCAGGAGAAGGCATACGATTCGGTAGACCACGCCTAATGGGCAAAAGCGCCTAATGAGAAAAAGAATAAGTAACCCCCTCCTAGGCGAAACCACCGCCAGACAGGGTGTACGTGACTCAAGGATCGAGTAAGGATCAGGACAGGATCAGAGCCTTGCAGATTGATTCAAATCGTACCATTCCCATACAGAAGTAACCAGTGATTCATCGGAATGTCTCCGGAAAGCAAAGACAAGCAAAGCTGCATGAAAGAATTGCTGCTAAAGATGACATCCAACAACTGACATGGAATTCTTTTCAGAATGCCCATGCATACATCCTCGCCACGGTCTGGCTCGACAGCGATCCGCTGATGACTGGCGCGTATGACACACAGTTCCGCCTATTGCGTTCCATAATACCATCAACAGATATAACGGGGCTACTATTTCCATACGTCTTGAGTTTGCAGGCAGCTGCCTGATCGTGCCTATTATACAAGACATTCTGCAGACTCCAACCTCAGTTGATGCGACTCATCCGGTCTCCTCCAAATACTTGTATCGAAGTGTTCAGTCCATACAATTCATGGTCCTCGTTCCCTCCAACATGAAGAGTTGGATGGGAGCGTTGATGGCACATGGTGATTGGACTGCCTTAGAGGCAGTTCTATATGTGTCTTGCCTTTGCGATCTTGTTGTAATTTGGTTGCTCTCATTATGAACGCGGAAGAGGCAGGGTTGACCCATCTTCCCCTGACTGGAACGTGTTGGCGAACATTCAGCCTACTGGGGTGCTTGACCCTTGGAAAACCGAATATAGTTAAGCTGGAACTCCAGCAACTGTGTCTACCAAAGATTGAAAGCTACGATGACTTGCTAAGGCATTCGACCCATTTCCAGCGGTCTTGGGCATCTCGATACCATTATTGGGTCTCTCGAAGAAGAGAAGGTACAGAAAAGAAAAACGACACGAAAAATAAATAAGAATGTATATACAAAGAGGAAGAAACGGAAGAAAAGGAAACCAACAATCAAATTTATTGAACGCCCGTCAAGAATGACCAGTTATAGAAGAGAGACCCATGTGGTGTTGAAAAAGAAAAGCAGCACCACATCATGAGCTGGATGGATTGGGATCAGCGATAGTCAATGCTGCTTGATCTAGTGGATGAATTCATCATCCCCGACAGTGAGGAATTGAACGACTGCAGGCCTGAGGCGAACTCCTCTGATAAATGGGTTTGTTTTCACAGGCCATGGTTGGCCCTTCTGCTGGCACTCCACGTTATATCACATACACCTTCTATGAGCTAGATGTTTTGATTACAACAACATACAATACTGATTTGATCTACTGGGTGGAATCACCATGTCCGCCAGTGAGGAGAAAAATAGCTGCAGTACTGAAGCAAAATCCTGCGGCTCATGGTTCATTTTTACAGGCCATGGTTGGCCTTGCTCCTGGCACCCCATATTGATGGTAACGCGAAGTGTGCGGCCCTAGTTCATTGTTGGTCACATTGTTGCCTCCGCTGTGGTGGCTTATGAGCATCTTATTATACGTGTAACCACCATCCTAGCATTTCCTCTTCGGTCGTTCCAGCAAAATGTCGCTTTTACTCTTCCATTTTACAGGCTGTGTGGGGACAGATCCATCGGTCCTTGCGCCATGTGGTTCATTATACAGATATAACTCGGTGAAGAAAAAGACAACCGACAAGGTGCGTTATGAGATGTGAGATGGTTTGTTTACCAAAAGTCATCACTTGCACCCTACGGAATATTATACTGTGCCATGCTTTGCCCATCTCATACTCCTTATCGCCATGAAAACATACTCTCGACCAAGTCGATATTCTTGTTCGCTATACAACAAACCCCACTATGAACGGGGCTTCCACCTCAACAGCAAGGCTACTCCTTTTCCCTTCAAGGATGTCAACACGGAGCTTGCAGCAAAATCACTTCAAGCAAGACTCCTATGGCGCCCGGGATTTGGTGGTGCGATAGACCCCGCTGATACTCAATGGCCGAGAGCCACATTCGATTAGCATCACTCAATGGCTCTCCGATCTGAATGAGAGAAAGGTACGCAGTGGTTGTCAGACTTGTGCAGATCACTTTCTCTCATCACGTCGTTGCCCAGGGAAGAGGGATTAATTTCATTGACACCTGATGAGATGCCTTCGGGTTTCCAAACGTATCGCATCTCTGCTATGACAGTTGAGAAAGAACAGAGACTGTGTGCTCTTGGCGAATATACTGGAGCGCAAAATCCATGTACTCGGTCGGCGCTGCTTTCGAATGCACAAGCTGGTATTAGGTTGATGAAGCACACCCCAGCTCGACCTGGCTTGGTGCTTGTCATGTGTTTCTATGCTGATAACCGACTCATCAGATGGGTCTGCAAGAAACGTTTTCGCGGTCCATATTATCTGGTATTTGTGTACTTCTCCAGATCAAAAGAAGCTCAAGCCCCGTTTCAACGGATGAATAAGATACTTCTGCTCTATCACCGTGGTTCTGGTCTTGACATCACTTCCATCTGGAGACACAACGATTAATATCTACCCTGCGTTTCTCAATTGTCACAACAGTCGGGACTTCTAGATGTCGTTGGGACACTGTCTTACCGCCAAATCTTACAAAGGGCAATTATCGATGGAATTGCCATTAAATGGAGTCATGTCTCGGTTGTTAAACTGATGGACAAGGCTGCAACAGAGCATGTTTTATGCGTGGTGTCGTGAGCCTAGATATCTGTGATCAAAAGTATACGAGGATATCGAAATTGTGTAACGCCCAAGAGACGCTGGTCAATGTTTGTTCTCTGCTAATCAGATTACACGAATCTATTGACAAAGGTTGAAATGGTTATCCTTCCTATTTCTGTGCAACAATCGATTGCTCTGTTCGCAAGAGCAGGCAGCAAACTTGAGCTGAGATCGATCAACACCTACCGTTAACGAGTCCAATTATCAGCAGCGCGGTACAGATAAGACACCCATTTTCAACACTTTGAGCAGTACCATGTCATGGCTTGGTGTGGCTTGTCTCCCCGATTGGCATACCCGCAATCTTGATCTTCCTACCGTCCGCCCAAATTGGACAAATGCATACCTCCTCGGTATCTTGCTCTGGCCGGTTTATGAAGATAGATATCAAGGGCGACGACGAATGCGACGATGCTTTGTGTACTGAGAAGCTGGCAAGCAAACAATTAGGTGCTTTCCCACTCAACGGATTCGGCTATTAGAGAAACCTCAAACGTCCGGACGAGTGCAGCGATTTCGCCAAACGGCAGTATGGGCATCTCCCCGGCGAAATGGTCCGGTTGAATAACTCATGCCGTGGACTGTATGCACACCTTCAGGACGTCCATGTACCACAAGATTTGTTGGGTCCCTACAAGCAGCGATGTCGACAAGAACGTACAGACCCGACTGATGTATCCCTGCATCGTCTGTGGAAAGGCTTATATACTGAAAGACCGACTACCCCAATCTCAACAATCTCTACTGGAAGCTTCTGCTGATGACACGAATGTCCAAGGAAGGTATCAAACACTGCTGGTCGCTGAGCATGTATTCAGGCACTGCGCTATAGCAAACACAGTTTGAAACGTCATCCGCAGCATATGGCGACAGATAGCGGGCCTACCACAACCTTCCCACAACGTGGACCGAGCTGCTGTCGAAGGGGGTCGCATGGACGGACTCTCGATCTTTCGCACTGAAAGCAGATCAGGAACGGTGGCGAGTACTGTTCGGGGAGACCTGTGGTTGTGGCTTTATCGGTGTGCCTGGAGCTTGCTTTGGCGAGGTACAGGATTTCAACGAACCGCAAGCGGTAACTGTGATGTTCCATTCGTCTTACTCAGAGACACAATAGATGTCAATCTGAGTTATACAAACCATCCGGCCATAGACAAAGAAGATAGGTGGAGGATGGGGAACTGTGAACCGGTCCATTTTCGAGGATGGCTCTGTGAAGGTCAAAGACGGTCAATGTGCCATAGAATCAAGGAAACGCAATCGCCAACTATGGTTATTGCGGAGACAGCGATATACGCCGGAGTCACTATACACCTAAGGATGGGCCTTCCTATCCTGTCAGCTTGCATTTTCGTTACTTCTCTCACTATACGAAGATGACGCTGAGGATGTAGACTCTGGTTCAAGCAATGCATTTCCGCAAGAACCTCTCTTTCACAGTACAAGGGCATTATGTGATCGTCTGACCTGGCTCTGTCCGACTTTCAGATCGAAGAAGAGGATGCGGAACGGTTCCCACCATTGATCCCTAAGTTCATATTAGGTCTTCGATTGTCAGCCTCACCTACTGTTTGTTCTAGGGTGATCGAATATACCAGCCACAGTCAGATTGTCGCAACCAGCGATCAGAGTTCTGTGGAATAAGGCCGCAGCAACCAAGAGAGTGGTGCGTGGTTGCGGGAGCATCCTCAAACCCTGTACGTGATGCGGAACACCTTTGCCGATCTCACAGAGTACGACACGTGCCTTCACAACGCACTGGTCTACGAGAAAGAAGCCAAGGATAAAGCCGCCAGGGATCATGCAGGAGGATACTGCCTGCTGCTCGTGGTGGCCGTGCCGAACCTTGGCAACCGTCGATATATCGCCTTTCTTTTTCCGCAGGACTGTGAAAGGCGCCTGCGGCCGGAAGATCATCTGACGGTCATCTTTGACTTGGAGAACTCTGCTCCTGAGACAGGATGGCGTGCGGTTATTATGGAGAATATCAGCTTCACACCTCCGGGGTTCTGCACCCTCAGCCTCATCCGGCCATGGAACCGCGAAACCGGCACATGGGTCGACCTGCCTGCAGACCAGGAGCCTAATGCGATTCCCTTCACTACACTGATCGATGTGGTTGGCGCGCGCAAGCTCCTTGCCTCTATCCAGCCGCAGCGGGTTGTCGTGCACCTAGTATCATAGAACCTACCCTACCGCCGTCAAATTACAGCGGCCATCCCATGAGCTTGATAGATCGTGTGGGAGTCAACTATGATGTCCTCCCCTTGGTTTGGCTTACCACAGCACGGTTCTTATCTTTTCGCGGTATATCATAAAGGATTATACTGGGTGCTCGAACCATCAACATCTTTCATTGGTTTGTGCGTCTGTGCCCCTCCTACGCTTCTCAATCGGCTTGTTCTTCGAAGTTAAGGGAGATTTATTAGGAAGGTTATCACTCCGCACTGCAGGGCAATTTATATATATATATATAAAGTGACATGCTCAGACACAATCCATTCAGTCGAATTTCCGGCAGACAATATTCTAATCCTTCCCAATAACATTGGGACTGTATGCCTCCTAGCCTCAACCACCACTTATGGATCTTGTCAATTCGCCGGCGACCTCTGCAATTTTTATCGGCTCCTTTATGATTGACCGACCTGTACCTATCAACAACAGTCATCAATCGGCTGGATGATACATACCAACAAGAGATATACCGAAGGCTTCCTGCCATACGCCGCGACATTCAAGTGCCAGAAGAGCGCATGATGGACCGAAGGCTGGCTGGCGATACTCTTCGTTGGAAGTTTCCCAACCACATGAAAGGCTGGAATCTAGTCGCAGAAAAACTGGCAAGACATTCACGTCGAATACAATGTCCGAAAGAAGACCTGAAACAGGCGTACCGCAATTTACCCCTAGGTATTCGGTGCTTGTGCGCGCTCCAGGACCTGGAGAAAAAGCAACCGGCAGAATCAAGAGATACAAGCACGTCAGAACCATTATTGGGCAACTTATATAACTCGTTCACTCTTTCGCCAAGGGCGAGCCATTCAAAAGTCCAAGGTGATACGCTACAACTCGCCTGGGCTCCCTGGGTTCGAGAGTGTATATGAATGGGATCATCTACGAAGATGGTGACCACGATAATCTCAAGTAACATCGTGTCTTTACATGAAGAAGGCAAAATAAAAATGTTCGAGGTCTGCTCGGTTTCCTTGACAGAAATGGAAGGCCAAAGAGTGCATGAAGTGAGTGAGGAGCAGATCAGGCGCAGATTTGGTTCTATGCGAAAGCCAGGGCCGTCTGGGTCTAATTCTGGTGCTGGAGCGAACCGAGAAAAGTCACGGAAACAAGACGCAACGTGGCTTCGGTGCGTCTTCGATATACGCTGGAATCTTGAATGCAACGCCTGAGGAATTGGACATACAAGATATGAGTTTGATACGACTGTCACCGCAGATCTTCACTATCAGCTATTCAGATGAGACTCTCTTCGCAATGTCTCGTGGCGTAAAATATGCTTCGCTTTTGTTGACGTTGGAATAAATCTGCAGGCTTCATCTACGCGGAGGTGACTGGCTCAATATCGGTCCAAGATGAGGACAACATTTCTTCCCTATAGAAGGGACTGAGAATGATGTGACGGAGATACCACGCTACCCTATAACGGAATGAAATACCACTGGAGACAAAGAAAATCAGAAAGATACATGAAGAACGAAGAGGATCATAATGAATGAATGAACGAAACTAAACTGAGCAATAAATGAACGCAACTACAAAAGAACAGAAGGCTAAACAAGCAACGAAAGCAGCAGAATAAGCAAGGACATAAATCCAAGAGGTAACGGCAGGAAAAAATAACTAGAAATAATGAAGGAAAAAAAACCTGTCCATGACTCAAACATGGATCCAGACCACCAAGGCAAACGGGTCTGCGAATGATGTTCCCGAGAGCTAGAGGGCCAAGGCCGGCCTGACCGATTGCTACGCCTGCTTGCAGTGGTTCTTTCAGTCCTGACACCAACTCCGACGGGAACTACGAAATCCTTGGGAACACTTCCATGAAAACACATCCGTCAACCTGATCAGAGCGCAGCAACGACGGCTTTTCTTGTGGGCACTCACGTCATGATATACTTCCTTGTTAGGCATGTCATTCCCTTAATGCCATTTGCTTCACGGAACTATACGAAGCAATATGTTGAGGAAACCTATGCAGTTATATTCCACTACACAATCTGCAATACATGACAAACGAAGTGATAGCACTTGACTATGCGCTGGTCGGAATAAACAACCCTTTCATTTGCACTTTGAGAGTTTCGTGGCCTGATTCTGCTGTGGGTGGTGGAGTCTTCCAAACTGTGGACGCTGTGCCCGTGACCAGTTAATGAGATTTGGATGGATATCCGGCAAAGGGTTTCTTTGCAAATCCCCAGGGTCGAAAACGACATGATACACGTTATCTTGTTTTTGAGTCATCAATATTACTTCTTAGGGCATTTGAGAACAAGCAAACACGCACAGAAGATGGATGTGAAACCCACAGCAGGCAGTGCAAGATTTCTTCGAGAGGTCGACTTGGCCGGTAGTGAAGAGGCAGTCAGGCATCTGGAAGAAAACTCTGCCTGGGCTGCGGACCTCGAGAATAACGATGCTGCTGACCAGAGAGTTGGGATGTTGACAATGCCATTGACATGACGTCCATTGAACTTCATACAGAGTTCGATGAGACGCCTGTTTATACTTGAAATGCAACCCCATAACGGTGGAGATAAAGGAGAGACAATAATAACTTTGAAGCGTCACCTGATCGATTTACTATAATGTGACCACGATACTAAAATATACTTTCTTGCTTTACCAAATAATCGCCGCATTCACGCGTCTGGGACGATTGCTACATAAAGATCTAAGCACGGCGTTCTGGTTGCGAAGTGAAACAAGGGAGCAACCGGAAGGATCTCCGGGGTGGTGGTTGCATCAAATGCGGTCAATATATCGGCAAGCTGATTAACCGCGGCCTTCGCTCTCGTTGTATATTCCTGTTATCGCCGAACCAGGTCTGCATTGTGGCATCGCGATTAAAGTTCGCCGTCGAAAAGTCTCGCCGGAGAAGCATGGATGACTGTCCTGTCTTCTTGGTCCACTGAATATAGTTTGCTGGTGCGCCCATCTCGAAGAACCCCCTGATAATACAATCAAGCCCCGGATCAAGCTGCCTCATAATTAAATCCTTGTTGATGGAAGATCATGTCTATCGATGACTAGCAGGCCAGATATCAACCATGCAGTGTGAGTACTGACAAGATTCTGCTCCAATGCCAGCTCTTCGTCACCGGCATCTTCCGCCCGGAACTCATCGTCATCGACGAGGCGGCGCGCGCGTCCGAGGCGGACCTGTGCCCGGTCTTCGCCAATTATGATCCTTGTTGGTACTTGATCATCGGGGACCCGTTCCAGTTGCATCCGGTGGTTGAGTCGACGCACCAGAATAACCCACTCCACGCCGTGTCGGCCACCTCCCTCTTCCGGCATCTGCACATGAACGGGATGCTGCTCTGCATGCTGAACGTGCAGTACTGTATGGCTAGTATGCTGGGCGATCTGGTCTGTTACCGGCTGGGCTATTCAATTAGGACATGGTGTCTTATTCTAGATATCGAACGACAGAAAAGATAACAAGCACAACACATAGGTGCATCAGACGTGTCAAGTAGGATCATATTGGCTTGAACGATTATTAACGGAGTACCGATATTCCAAGTTGGGACTGCTTCCTTTCATGTGCTGGAAACCCATTTGTATAACTCTAACGTGATCCGAACTGATTGTTCGGGTCTGGGCGTTCATCGGCACATTAGGATAAGAAGGACACTGATGGAAATACCATGCGTCAGTCCTGGTTATATACTGATGTCTCCTTCTGATGAAAGCTAGTGGTTGAGTTTCACACCTCCGTCCTGAGCACGTCGCTTCCACGAGAAATAAGGAAATCTCATTCTTCCCCAGTGTCGGGGTTTCCATCGACAATATAAAGGCTCATCAGAGTGGTGAGGAAGGAAATAAAAGGAGTCTATACAGCCTCAACGAGCACTCTGCGCAACACACGGATTTGCTCGATACGTTATCTCTCTCATGCAGAACAACCAAAACCTCCAAGATACAAAGTCGGGCCCATCCAGTCTCTCTGATGAATGCTGGGATTAAAAAAATTCGTTCTTCCGTCATAGTGCTCGAAAGTCTATATGAAGAAGTACAGACCGTCGCTTTCCTTATGCCTGCAATGCAACTCAGGAGACAAGAAAGTTGTCTCCACAGCGGATCGTGGGTTTTATATACTGGACGGTACCCGTGTCCGAAGTTAATTGTCAAAGACGCGTCTCAACCACACGGGACCAAAACAAACAAGCAGTGCTTTTAAGCATGGGTCCTTTACGTTCTTGAGAGCATGTGATGAGAGACACTTCCGCTACTTTTGCATGCAGGTCTAATGACCATAGCTCGATATACAGTTCAAGGATGGTGCTTAACAGGAGATCCAGACAAAGTCAACGAAGAGTACAAGCTGAACGGCGTTGAGAATAGGCAAGACCTCACATTGTCCCGAGTAACATATGCAGCTTCCCTCTGCCAAACAGCGAGATAATGGAGGAAAGCAGGATGTGCGGTCCTACAACTGCAGCACTGCATATGAACAGATAGTGAAGGAATCCTTACCAACGAATGAACCAACCCACACGGCTCTCGGTCACTCTTCCCAGACTCTTCCTTAGCCACTGGCTATAACTATTCCTTCAGCACGCGCTAAAACGGACCCAAAAGATTACTCCTAACTTCAAAAACGCACTACAAACATATTTTATTTCTTCGGCGGTCGCAGCGCGCTATCCCGAAAGATGGCAGAGAAATACAAGCTGCTGAAGCATGGATGATGTCAGTCACAAGCGCCTGTGCCTTGTTAGCATTGGCATTGACGAAGCATATTTGCGGTACAATCACAAGAAATGCTGCGATTACTTATAATGAGACATGGAAATTTGGGGTTATCGGATTGTGGGGACATGATTCGACGGGGATTCTATACACAACGAATCCCAATCACCATGTTCTCCTGCCTTGATGTGCAGTGCACCAGATCTATTGTTGCTCTGGGGGTGGTATATACGAGTTGGGTCTGGCTTATA